CTGTCTCATGCTCACAAGTTGCCTATTGGGCATCTTAAAAGTTTTCTCTGGGTTTTTCTGGGGAAGAAAAGAAAAGCTGTACTTACTGATTTTAGTGTTTTTGCTCCAACTGAATCCACAAAGTTCACTGGGGTGAAATCCAGAATCAAAGAGTGAATGCTTGTTTTGGGCTCCACAAAATGTTCATGCTCGTCAGGAGACACGTCTGGTGCACTAGAATCTGCAAATTTTCCATTCACAGGTAACTCATCATCTGCTATCTCATGTTTTGCACTTGCTTCTACATCATTAGTCTGGGAGAGAAGATAAATAAAGCTTAATGACAGTCAATGCTTTTTAAGGTAGATCCCCCTCCTCCCCAAGCTCATCTGTCCTTTAACCTCTAGAAGGTGCAGCTCCCAGTCACCACAGAACTTGGCTGTACCTGCACATATACTTAGGTATCTTCATGTATCAAGGTTCATTGTCTTATGCTCAGCCTTTTCAGTCATACACAACCAGCTTAAAGCTGTTACCTCAGGAGTGAATTACATTTCCTTCAAACATTGACACCTGTTCATATATTTTTACTCCATTTCCTTGCCTTATCCCAGCTGATCCTGTCAAGGCAACAGCAATTAGGCTCTCTAATTAGGCCTCATTTTTGTTTGCCATGGTAAAAAGCACATGCCAGCTCCCACCATGGGGGTGAGTTTAAACATGCATAAAATCACAAGCATGTCCCACCCAACCCTTTCAGTGCACCACGCCAGGATCAGCAGTGTGGATGGCACCTTCCTGTTACAGGGGCTGCTCATTTTAATCAATTCTATCCTATCTTATTTCTACATGATTATTTGAAGTGCATGGGGAGGGGCAGAGGCACAGTCCCTCTGATTTCTGCCAACACCACTGCTGAGACAGTAAGACAGTGTGGAGAGGCTCTGTGCTGCTACCTGAAAGGTCCAACACAATTATCCAGCTGTGAGCTCTGATCCTTATGCTGTTCCTTCAGTGACCAGTCCCCACTGCACAGCACCTGCTCCCTAAGCCTTCCCACCTGAGCAGCACTCTGCACCTTGGATAAACCAGAATGGTAACACCACATTAGCCAATAAAGCAGAAGTAAATATTTACTGAAGAACTCACTAGTTTCAACACAGCTTTCTTTCTGAGTTCATTTGCTGCCTTTATTTCCCTGGCATGTCTCTTCTGGGCTTTTCTCCTCGCTGCTAATATGGCACAAGGGTCCACTCCAGTCTGTCATGAGAAGAAAGCACAGTCAGAGCAGATTCAGCTTGTTAGGATGACATTGCAGTATCAACTAGCACTGCATTAATCACTGCCATAGATTTCAACATTGTTCAGCTTCCCTTGGTGGGGGTGAGAAGAGTATAGGAAGGAATAATCTTGGCAAGCACTGTGCTGAGAGAGAGATGCATCTCATTCTTTTCTTGAAGTCAGAGGGTGTCTGTTTCATCCATATGCTGATTTCAGTGCAGAGAGCAAAGGGGAGAGAAGTGCATTTGGACAATAATCACTTGTATCTCGTGTTGTGAGGGTA